CAACATCTGTGTTTATTACTGTAACCTCGATGATACAAAGTCCTGCACATGATGAGCTACTGAGCTGAGGGCCCACACCTAATGATGACAGCTGAGTGACTGATGGCCACCGAAAGATGAACAGAGCAGCCCGCTCTCATTTACAGTCTTGATAATTTGACTGAGATGCAAAATGTAACTGTAGCCTGAATTTCATGACATACGTGTAACATCTTTCTGCTAGATGTGCAGTAGTGCGGGCGTACAGACACTAACGAGTTGCGCTGTATCTACTGTGTGCAGCGGTAACAAATAATGGCAGGACGGAGGTTGGATTGCAGAGGGGAAGTGGGAAAAATAAAGCACTGAGCAGATTCAATCTGAACATTCAGCACATTCCTACCATATCTCATCCACACACACACACACACACACACACACACACACTCCCTAACCTAACCAGAAACCTAAAACCAAGTCTTAATTTTCAGAAAGCTCTATGAAGTTGTCCTCCCAAAGATGGCATCAAACACAAACTGGTCCACACAAAGTAATAAAGGCATGTACACACACACAGAGCATGATGGGCCTGTCATCTTAAACCTTATTGTGAAAATAAATCCACATACAGGAAACACATCTGAACTAGGAAACAGGTCAGCATACAAAATTCATTCAGCTGTTGTTACACTGACATATACGATAAATGTTTCCAAGTCTTAAGTCTGTACAGTGAAGTGGCAGAACTTCCTGGGGTTATTTTAGAGGTGAAACAATAAGTCAGTTAATTGATTAGTCTAATCATCATCATCAACTTTATTTATATAGCACATTTAACACAGCAACAGCAGACCAAAGTGCTTATCACAAAACACAATAATAAAACAAAATTACAATTAAACAACCACCCATCATAAAACAAAAATCCTCAACAAAACAAAGCCTCATACCGGATCAAATGCCAAAAGGTACAGATGAGTTTTCAAATACACTTTAAAAATGGACAACGAGGGGCCTGCCTAATATATAGGGGCAGTGAATTCCACAACTTTGGAGCCCCCACAGCAAAAGCCCTGCCCCCCCAAGTCTCAACCTAGCCCTCGGTATCTCAAGAAGCAGCTGATTAGCTGATCTGAGGCACTGACAAGGACTATAGGGACGCAACAACTCTAGATAAGAGGGGGCCAAACCATTTAAAGACTTATAAACAAATAAAAGAATCTTAAAATGGATTATAAAATACACCGGCAATCAGTGAAGAGAAGCCAAAATGGGAGTGATATGCTCCCCTTTGCACCCCCCAACCAGTAAACGAGCAGCCGCATTTTGAACTCTGAAGACAGGCAAGGGACGTATGACTAAGCCCAAAATAGAGCGCATTACAATAATCCAGGCAAGACATAATAAACGCATGTATTGCTGTCTCAAAGTGCTGCCGCGAAAGAAAAGGCTTTACCTTTGCCAGCTGTCGAAGGTGAAAAAAGCTAGCCCTTACAACCGCGTTCACTTGACCTTCCAATCTAAAATTGGAATCTATTTTGACACCCAGGCGTGTAACAGTCGACTGCACATACTCCTGCAAGCAACCCAGATCAACTGTGGGAGAGTCACCAAATTTATTTGGGCCAAACACTATAACCTCAGTTTTCGTATCATTTAATTTCAATAAATTCAAAGTCATCCAGCTCTTAACGTCATTAAAACATGACAATAATGATACAACCGATGATGCGTCCCTTCCCCTCATTGGTATGTACATCTGCACATCATCTGCATAACAATGAAAAGAAACACCATGTTTTCTAAAAACACAACCAAGAGGAAGTAAATATAAAGAGAAAAGCAGGGGCGCCAAAACTGAGCCCTGCGGAACCCCAGATACCAACGGGGTAGATGAGGACTCAACATCAGCAAACCCAACAGACATCGTCCTATCCGACAAATAAGACCTGAACCACTCTAAGGCAGTACCACGGATGCCCACTAACTCCATAAGTCGAGACATTAGGATATCATGGACAACCATGTCAAATGCAGCAGTCAGATCCAGCAAAACAAGAATCACATAGCCACCAGCATCTGTTGCCAGGTAAATTTCGTTAAAAACCTTAAACAACGCTGACTCTGTACTATGCCAAGTTTTAAAACCAGATTGAAAAACCTCCAATACATTATGCTCATCAATTAACCATTTCGACCATTTTTCAAGCAATTATTCCAATAGTTGATGGTTTCAGCTTTTCAGATGTGAGGATTTGCTGCCTTTCTTTGTCTTAAATGATAGTGTACTCATTATTCTTGGATACTGAACTGCTGATCTGACAAAAACAAAATGTGTGTACCTCAGCTCATGCAAATAGGTCCCTTGTGAAAAAGGAAATCCAGAACAACACAAAATGTGTCCTAACATCCTTGATCTGGATCAGACCTGGATCATTTTTTTTAACTTTTACAGTAAAACTGTGCACCTTGCTTGAACATTTCAGGGTTTTATGTTCATTACAGGCCAAGTTATGGCAGAAAATAAGCATTAAATGAGGTTTTCAGTGTTAAATTTGAATGGCCATCAGATTCGGAATCTGGATGAAATCTGGTCTGGTGATAGACATTGCCACTCTACGTGTGTGTGTTAAAATTCAAACAATTTCAATAAATTCAAACGGGGATATGAATTTGTAAAATGTTGCCCCATGTGAAACGTAGGGATTTGCCATTTTTGTGACCTTGACCTTTTTCAGCCTAAATCTAATCACTTCTAGGGTTCGTCCCCACCAAAGTTTGTAGCAAGTATGCTGATGATCCATCCAGCTGTTTCTCCCTAATCCTGCTAACCACCAAACACACACACAGAACCAAAAACATAATCTCCTTGGCAGAGGTAAAAATAACCGAGTCATTCTACTTAGGGCTGCAACTAATGATTATTCTCAATATCTGTTATTTCTGTATTGATTGCTTTGCATATAAAATAGCAGAACAGTGCACATCACAGTTTCTCAGAGTCCAAAGCCTAAAATGCAAAGAGCCAATTAACTACTGTATAATGTAAAACAAAAAAAAAAGCAGAAAATTCAAGCATTTTAAAGCCTGAAACCATCAAATCTATGACATTTTTGCTTGAGAACTGACTTATTGGAGGTGTTCTTATTGAGGTTTTTACTTTAAAAGCCAGTGCTGACTTTCAACAGGCAAATGTATCTATAAACAGAAAGAGATATTGTGATAAACATCCACCATGACAGTATAATTTATCATCTTTACCCTGAGCAACTCTGACTCAAAATGAAACAGAGCACAAAATGTTTTCACTTTTTAAAACGTGTGACTAACTTCCACCTGGATGAAATCTCACAGGTCGCACTTTCACACAATGAATACAATGAACTTTGAGCTAAGTCGGGTGAAGACTTTGTAAACTGAGAAATCTTTAGTTGAGTCATTCGCCACATCTTTGATTTCACAACAGCATGTTTTGATTTTGAACAAGGAGGAGAGTTCTTTTTTCCATTCTTTCTGCATGACTGACAAGAAAATTTGTTTTGAGTTCAAATCAGCTAATCACAAGTCCCTGCTGCTCCTCACCTTCATACAAGTCTAAGCCATGCAAATTCTTTCATTGAGTACAACCCTTTTTTATATGACGTTGCACACACAAACATGATTGAGTGATCTTGAGGAGCTTAGCAGAATAATGTCACCATTATTCCTCCCTGTCAGTCACCAGATGGGTCCACAACTGGATGCACACAAACATACTGTACACACAAAAGCAGTAACCTTCACAGTTTCTTGCTGCATTCACAGGGATCGCACTGCAGACAAGTTCTAGTTTTGGCCTCGTTTTGCCCCCAAGACATCTATGAAAAATAAACCAGAAATGGAAATCAACTTTGCCGTCTCCCATTTTCCATCATCTCAACTTCAACCTCTGTCGGACTCATGATGTCGCAAATGTCAGCACATGTGACAGCTCTGTTATTGGCTTTCTAGCATTTTCAGAGAGCAGAGCAAGTCACAACAAGCCACCTGATTCCCTGTACAATACTCACACATACACACCAAAGAGCTCAACACACACACACACCAGGTCTGCACGTTTCTAAAACAGGATTTGAGCTGTCCCGGAGACATTAACTCACAATGATCTTTGCCCTTCCTCCTAACTTTAATGTTAAAAAAAGAAAGGGGCCACAAATCAAAGAAAGAAAAGTAAACAAAAAGTATGAGTGAATTCACAGAGGCTGGAAGTCATTCATCAAAGAAATGAAAAGACCTAGAGATGCACACCCAGGCAAAAAGCATATTACTGTCATTACAGCACACACAACTGGCCAACCCATGGACAGAAATGAAACTGTGAGTGCCTCATTGAGATAAGATAGAACCTAGTTTAACCTAAATTACTTTAGTGCAGAATGCAGTTTATTGACAGCAAAAGTCCCAACAGTATTAACAGTTACCTTGGGGGAAA